GCGACCAGGGCACGGAACGTCTCCTGGCCAAAGATCTCGCACACGCGCTCTTACTTTGCGGAAGACTTCATCATCACTGCACAACAGACCGCACTTGTCCCACGAAATCGGGAGCCTGCGGCCCTCCATGCCTCTTAACAGCAACGTTAGACCAGTCATCGCCTGATCTGCAACCTGAGTGGGCCCACCTATCACATGTAAGCTGATGTCATCGATCAGGTTCTTGATTCTGATAAGGCTACACTTTAGCCCCTATGCTCCTGAGCGTGGTGATCGTCATCAACTTAGCCAACCCTGTAGCGCATGAGCAGCCTGCTATTATGGACCCGCTCGCGTTAATGACCTCTGAAACCGACTGCTGGTACACGGCCCTCCTCGGGCCTCTGTGCAAGGCGCGCGAGGGCCTCAGAAGCGCCAGGGGGAAATCAGTATCCCTGGCAGCACAACAAAGTTCCTGGTGGCCGACCATTTCATAAAACTTGCGGAGGTCCACAAACGCGCTGAAACCTACAAAGCCTAACTGGGGTGCCACAGCCGCAAGGGTGTTGTGTATCCAGGCGGACTTGTCACACGAAGTCTCACTAGAGGCTCCCCAGAAAAAAAACCTATCGGCAGTTTGGATTCCCACTTTGAGACCTGCCTGTGTCTCAATCTGGACCAAATTCTAGCAAACAAGGGCAGCAGGCCTATGGGTCTTTCTCCCCCTTGTGGTTTGGGGAGAAAGACGATGAGAATGGGCAATGTCGGTGAGCTCTGGCTCAGCTCCCCACCGATGTAAAATCAAGATCAAAGCCTCTATGAGAGGCTCAGGCAACTTTTCTATCCACCTCGGGCGAAAGGAATCCCAGCCTAGACCGGTGTTGGGCCTAAACGGCCCTAGAGCTGCTCGCACCGCCGCTGGCTCTAGCTCGGGAAGGGGAGCCGCGCTTGAAACATCCCAGGAGAGGGGGTGGGGCTCCAGGTCCCTGGACGGAAGCTTCCAAAGCGAGACCCAAGTCCCCAGCATGGCCTTCAAGGCCTCATGCCCCACCACAGGCACCGAGTCAGCAAGCGCTGGTTGGGAATTGCCCTGAGGGCCCCGAGAATACTTATGCGCAAGACTCCCTCCTCTCTGGAACGCGAGCTCTGAAAACTCCTTCCAAGACTGTCGAGCCGCCGACGCATCCTTGCTCGTTTGCTGCTGCGCACGACGCTGAAGCAAGACGCACAACTCAACGCGAGAGTCAGGAGCCCCAAGACGAGCAAGGAAGGCGGCATGCGAGCTTGGTGACACAGCCTCCTGAGTCGACTCAGCCTCCTCCTCCCCCGAACCCGTCCAAACGCCACCGACATCCTCCATACGTGCAACAGCGCTGCTGATCGCAGCATCCCTATCTGGGGCCGTGGAGTCTTGCGCGCGGAGCCACTGCATTGTCACTCTGCGAAGCGTTCACCACTTCTGAGTTAACGCGCTGGCCTTTCTTCGGACACTTTTTCCCCAGGCGCAAGAAAAGGCACTTTTTCCAGACGGCAACCAGCAGCACGACCTGAATAACGGGGCCTGTCAAACTCGGGCAGCCCCGTGTACATGCACAGATACAGCTCAGCGGAAGAAAACCACCTGCGCGCAAGACTGCCCACTGACTCCCCTGCAAAAATTTCGAAAACTGACCAGCCCGAGATGTCCCCTGGAACGAAGCCCCCCCCTTCTTTGGGAGCCTGAACGCCTCGGACTGGATTCGTCTGTAAATGAAATTGTGGCTTCCTACCCCCGACATCCTGAGGACGACCGCTTTGTGGGGCCCCACGGGAGTGCCATGCCGAAGGCATATGCTACGGACGAAGGGCACTAGCACATCACTCATCACGAAAAAGTCTACGTAGGTGTCGTTGCACGTGGGCTGTTCTGCGCGCACAACCTCCGCGTGCAACGCGTTTAAGAAATCATGCCGAAGAAAACTGTCCGGTCCCAAAAAGCTCAGCTTCGATGTTCCAGTCGCCAGCAATGCAGAAGGGCAGGCACGAGGCCCGCACGGCCTCAACGAGAGCTCCCAAGAGCTCCACGTTGCCCTTAAGGCCCACCCCCACCTCCCCGTAAACCGAAACGAAGAGAATCTGCATATCGCCTAAAACTGCGCGCTGAAACTTAAGCCTGCTCCTGGGGTGTGCACATGCTGGTAAATACTCTGCAACAGGAATATGAGCACGCGTGCACAGGCCTACCCCACAGGACGTCGACAAGGCCGAACTGCCAGTGATCGCACACAGTGACGCCTCCAGCCGATAGCCTCGAGCTCGAGCCCAAGCTTGACCGCGTCGGATCTGCCCACCTGCTGCGAGGCGGAGCTCCTGCAGCACGAAAATGTCCGCCTGTAACAACTGGTCCAGCACGCACCACTCCATGAAACTCTGAGCCGTGGCCCAGGAATTGCTGTTGTAGCAAGCCACCGTGAACTCCGTGCTAACCCCGAACGATTGAATCGGCTGCTTGTCACCAGCCACCTTACGCTTGCTAAGCGCTGTGCAGGTAGAACTCCTACCGAGCAGCTCCAAATCATGAACAGGAACGGGCTCATGTGGTACGCCAGGGCCAGGTGAATCAGCGTGTTGCCCTGCAAGTTGCCCAGCAGAAAAAGGCACCACATCGCCTGATGCCTCTTCTCCGTTCAAATACTCGCACAGGTCCAGGCAGCTGCAGTCAGGGAACAGCAGGCCTCCGTAGGTTACTGGTCGTAATCGATTGTCTTCCCCTTCGCCCCCTTTGACCGCATCCGAGGACACGAGGGGGCACTCAATAGTTCGGATTGTGTAGCCGCTTGGGTTTGAAGCCTCCTGCTGCCAAAAGACGAGCTTTGGCTCGAAGCTCCTCCTCGTCTTCACCTTCGTCAGCCAAGGAACCGACATCCTTGCGCAGCAGCTCAACCTCGATCGTGTCGATGTCCCATGTTGCTGGAGGCGGCTCCGATGGTTGACCACCGCTCGCTGCCCCGCGAGCTCGCTTGTCGGGCGGCTCCCCCAGCAGCTCGGCCGCACAGGACTTGAGCACCTCAGCCAACTTCGGTGCCAGCTTGCTGGCGTCCTCGACGCCCTCAATAGCACCAAGCGCTGAAAGCAGCTTGGCCTCATCCAACTTGATCTCAGGGCCCGTGAGGTCCATAGCCTGATGCTGTCCTGTCCAGAGCCTGATGCTGTCCTGGAGGAGGAGGAGGAGGAGAAGGGAGGATGAGGAGGAGGAGGAGGCAGAGCAGGACGAGGAAGGTCGAGGAGGAGGAGGACGAGCAGGAGGAGGAGGAGGAGGAGGAGGAGGAGGAGGAGGAGGACGAGGACGAATACGAGGAGGGAAAAAAGGGGAGGGGGCAGCTGGCAGCAGCGTCTGTGCTCCTGGGCCCCTCGGGATCGCTGCGTCCTGTCCTGCCGACCAGCAGGGAGACGCCCTCTGATGCTGGGCTGAAGGACTACACTTGAGTCGGGCTTGTCCCTCTACAGGAGGAATGTTCAACAATAGTCAAATTACCCCAGTGCGTCCCTACCTAGAAGTTGGAGCCCCTAGGAAAGCAGTATTAGTTGTTATGCGCTACTATGCTATGCCATGCTATGATGCGCTATGTTATGCTGTGCTGTGCTGTGTTGTGCTGTGCTATGCTATGCTATGCTATGTCATGCTGCGCTGTGCTATGCTATGATATGCTAAGCTGCGATATGCTATGCTATGATATGCAATGCTATGATATGCTATGCTATGCTATGCTATGCTTGGTTATGTCATGCTATGCTATGCTATGCTAATCTAAGCTAAGCTAATCTGAGATAAGCACCGCTAAGCTAAGGGGACGTACTGATGTGCTGTGCTGCGCTATGTTATGCTACGCTATGATATGCTGTGCTCTGATATAAGCTCAGCGAAGCTAAGATGGATGTAAGCTAAGCTAAGATAAACCTGAGCTAAGATGAAGCTAAGCTAAGCTAAGATGAACGAAGCTAAGCTAAGATGATGTAAACAACGCTAAGCTAAGGGGACGTAACTGGGGGAACCGCGGGGCGGATGCCAGGGGAACCGCCCGAGGCGATTCGCACTGCCCGACCCTTTAAGCACACAGGGTAAGAACCCCTCTAGGCAGAGCCTAGGTAGGGAACACTAGTCAGGAGACGATTTTCCGATGTTTGTTGTTGTTGTACTAAGAGCAACAACAACCACAACAACAACAACAACCACAACCACAACCACAACCACAACCACAACCACAACAACAACCACAACCACAACCACAACCACAACCACAACCACAACCACAACCACAACCACAACCACAACCACAACCACAACCACAACCACAACCACAACAACAACCACAACCACAACCACAACCACAATCACAACCACAACCACAACAACAACAACAATACAATCAAAAATATCATAACAAATTGCACTGCGGAGTACCACTTCAGTCACGCACGCAGGGACAGTGAATGACCGTTCGGCCCCCTCACTCTGATAAGACAGGGCGGCGTCCGTCCTCGCTAGGAGCGTGTCCGATTAGCCCCCTCCTTTCTGCGCGGCTCGGCTCTTCGTGGAAAAGTTGGGGGCGGGGGTGAGGTCGGGCCTGTCCCCCTACAGGGGGATTTTAGATGAAAAATCAAAACATACCCCAAAAATGCTCCAAAAATGTTCAAAAATGGTCGAACATCGTCCCCTAAGTATCTTCTTACTATCTTCGAAGGTCCCCCTGTAGAGGGACAGGCCCGACTTGAGGCTGGGGGCGAGACACCGCATGCGACCAGAAACGCAGATCGCGCTCGCAGCCCCGCAGCGAGCCTCCATGAAGGGGCCCTGGGACACACAAATACATACACAAATGAGAAGATTCCCAATACTTTCTCACATTTGGGAGGCTTTCGTCTCCGCCCCCACCTCCTATATTTTCCCATATCCTCCTGGGGATCGACGACTCGTTGCGTCTGTGTGCGGAGCGGAGCGGAGAGAAGGGGAGGCGTGCCCCGTGCGCGCCGCCCGTCCCGGCCTTCGCCGGCGGCGGGGCGAGCCCCGCGGACTTCCGGGCAGCGGGGGCGGCCGACTTCGTGGCGGTGGGCATCATCAGCGGCGCTGCAGCCTTCACCTGGGCTCGTGCTGCTCCCGGCGTGCTCAAGGGCCACATCCCAGGATGTATTTTCGAGCACCCGGAGAAGTGTCGAAAGTGTGTCGAAACAGTGTCGGACGAGTGTCTCCCAGGGCCCGACACGTGAAAACCCTAGAGCTTCGTTTTTTCTTGGCGCTCGAAATGTTTTCTGGCGATCAAGGCTAAAGTAGGTTGGAACATCACAAACCTGGGCGACGAGGAGACAGGACGACTCGCGAGAGGACGCGGAGATACCTGAAAGTTACTCGGCGGCAAGCGCAGGCCGCTCAAAGGGCACACCGCGTCAAGAAAAGGGCGCTCACGCGCGACCTGACGCGGGATATCCACGGCCGAATGTCCACGATGTCGGGACCGTGTGTTTCAGCCGCTCCCCCGACAACCATGACTACAATACTCAACCTGGTCATACCAATCCTGAAGCCAGACTACGTGTATACTCCCTCCAAGCTTGGCCGTTCATATAGAGACGCACGTACCCCTGACGCATACTCATACCGATTCTCGGCCCAGAGTAGTCTAGCAGCCCAGCTAAGGTCGCTGGAGATTGGTGGCCGTACTCCGACAGCGGTGGCGATCGTGAGGGTCAGTCAATGCTGAGTTTATGGCGAGACGGCGCGCCCGAGCACAAGCGAACGGGCAGCGCGGAACCCGTGCAGCATGCGAGGTCGTTCGCAGACGAGCTCGAACAATGATGGTCTGCAGATTTGGTGCTCGCGCTGTCAATGTTCTGCTCTCCTAGGGCTTTGCAGCGTCGTCCGCACCTTGCTTCTGCATGTCCAAGCTCTTTGGCTGCCTGCACGCCCTCCTGTGCTCAGCTGCGTCCTTGCTCTTATGGACACTGCGCAGGCCTGACGGAAGCTTGAGAGGTCCCTTCCAATGTGTGCATCAGGCTTGAGCTGCCCTCATGGCGAAAGCAACGTGAGCACAGCATCGGGCTCGGACAGATCAGGCAGGGATCTTTGAGGGCTGGCGGTTCTGGAGGATCGGGTTGGGCGAAAGGGGGGGGATAGCAAAGGGGGGTTTGAGAATCAGCTCACGTAGCTGATTTTCCCGGCGCCTCCTGGCGCCGGAGGCGGCCATGTATCGAGGAAGGGGCCCCTCGGTGGGGCCGAAACCAGCTGCATGCAGCAGATTTCGTAACCCCCCCTTTCCCTATCACCCCCCTTTCTGTCTGGCCCGAGAGGATGCGTCGGGCACGCTGCGAGACCAGACTGGCAGGCTCTGGAGCTACTCTTCGTCAGCCTGGGCCTGCCTGACTTTGAGCCCCGAGCTCGGCGGTGGCCTTGGCCGGCATCTTGGTGATCGCCTTGGCGGGCACCTCTGTGAGGGGCAACGATAGGGGGGGGCCAGGCATAGGGGGTGGTGGATCGACCTGTAATCGGCGATACCTCGCCGATTGATTGGCGATAGGCTCCCGATAGTGGGTTGGGGCTAGCGGGCCCCTAGCGGCTATCAATGGGCGATTGGGGATCGATGCACCCCCCCTGTGCCGATCCCCCCCGATCGTTGCCCCTGGCTTTGGGGGAACAAACGCAGACTGATACCGCTGCTCTCCGGACGCCAGACCTCCGCCGGGGCGTGTTCTGACCAGGATTCCGAGGCAACTCCAGCCCTGGCGACGCAAGCCCCGCAGGAGGCCCAGCCGGGCGCAAGTCAGGGACGTGGACCGGTATCGACGCATTTTCTCCTCCAGACCTTAGCGACGGCCTTCCCTGGCGCCGCCTTCTTCGCCGCGGGTATCCTCTTGGCGAGTACCCCCGCCTTCTTGGACGCCCGAAGTGGGTACGGGAAACCTGGGCACGCTGCCTAACAACAAATGTTGTCCAAAACACACAGCGCCTGCTGCTGGGCAAGCGACCTTCTGTCTCGAATGGACAATGTCTGCGGCGACACCAACAGCGCGCCCTGCTCAAAATGAACAGGAAGTGATGTATCGGCAGCGCGCCCGGGGGAGAAGTGAGAGGGGGCGGGTTTTCTTAGAAGGCTCGGAAGTCCCGCGACCTTCTTAGAAGTGTCCAACTTCTCAGAAAGCGCGAGGGATCCTGAAACGCCACGTAGCCTTCTGAGAAGGCCTGCTCCCTCTCACTTTTCCCCCGGGCTCGCCGTCGAATGTCGGTCTTGGGCGTCACTTAGATCGGGGTGGCGATAAATGGGGAGGGGGGGGGGGAGAAAGGTGCATTTCTCTGGCCCTAAAGTTCCCATTTCGGATCATGAGGAGGAACCCTAAAGGACCCCATCTTCTGCAGCCCTCGCTGCCACCCCCCCAATTTATCGCCCCGCCCCCAGCACGCCACGCCCAACCCGGGCTCGCTGCCGACTGTCGGCCTTCGTGCCCACTGTTTCCGTACCGTGCCAATTTTGGACAAGCGCGTTTCACTACTCG